AAAAAGTAATTTTTCACCTTTGATTGAATAACGCGTTGTAGAATGCAGATACGGGCATGCAAAATACACTTGTGAAAAGCTTGAAGTCTGGCGATTCTAAAAATATATACTTTCCCGGGTCTATTTGTAGTCATTTAGTCACAATTAGAAGATGAAAACAAGTATGCAAATAATAGTCCCGCTACCTTAATATGAGTAACTCTAAGTTATTTATAGAAGTCTATACTAGAGAAAAATGTGAAAGCAATCATAATGACATTTGTCAGGACAAACACGAGTGACAGATACACAGCAGGATGGTTGACATTCCCCAACTTACCATTTTTACCAGAAAAACTTCTGTTAAAACCTCCATGGTTAATTTTAACAACACTATCACCACTGGTACCATGATATAAAATTTTTTCATTAATTGTTCCCACAGGATTCTTAGCATCCATGTTTTGTTTAAGGATCACATATTGTCGATATAATCCTGGGTTCTGTACACGTTCAATCTTCAAAGACAAATTTATGAAGAAGGTTAGTTAATGTAGTCTAATCATCCAAAAACTAGCCTCCCTGTAACCAATTTGACATGCAATAAACAATATATGGCCACGACAATCAATTAATGACGTAATAAATATTACGTGCACCACTCTCCAACCATACCACTATTACCGCATTTGATGTTCTGCAATTGTCAATTCTGTGACTTTACGGAAATGCCCGACCCGCTCGAAACTGACAGATTCCGGCGTGGCAAATTCGTGCAAACTGTGAGACTTAATGGTCATTGTCCACCGCTTCAATATTTACAATAACTGCGGTTTACGTTGTTTAAATGATATTTAAGATTAACGTTAAATTTGTTTGACCACAAAACAAATTATTTGAGCAAAAAACATTGCTCGTCACTCCAAGGTTCTTATAGCATTGTAACACGAGCATCTTTATTATGTTGTATAAATCAAATGACATGGATTTTAGGTTGAACAGTTTAAGCTATATGTTTACCGAACAGGCACAATAATTATAAATGGATTCTAAAACTTATTCCCATAATAAAACTTAAAGTTTGAAGTAGTATTCTTACACGAACATCATGGTATCTCAACACTATTTTTTATGGAAATACTAAAATATAAAAGTGTATTCTCATAAGTTATTATTATTATTGGACTACTAAATTTGGGCAAACTGTTGTTAATGTATGCTGAAGTATTTGACTATTATGTAAATTATCTAAATATTATGCACCAGCTTATTACAAGCAATCGGGCATTGAACTATCAAAACAACGTACATGTACGAAATTTAGACTTCTTTAGCAAAATATTGCAAGCAAAAAGAAAAAGAAAAAAGATTATATACAAAACATGTTGAGATATTCGCACTGATTGATTAGAAAGATAAATACACTGATACCGATCAATGCAAGCTCAACTAGATCGCATGATAATAAATGCCACCATATATCTATGTTACGTACTATTTAGCACTATTCACAAGCGAAATCAGTGTGAAC